CACCGAGAGCATGGTGATCGAACCGTCCGTCATGGCCGCACGAAACCGTGACGAATGACGGATGACACTGGTAGCAGAGATTTTTTTATAGACGAGAGCGCGACGAGTAAATTTGCGTCTTCGAAGAATCGCGATGGCGTGTTGCTGATTGTGGATTCTGACGTCATATTTCCTATTCTCCTTTACGCGTTAACTGCGGCCATATCAGTGTTGTAGGTCTCGAGACCGGTCTTGGCTCAGAGACCGGTCTCGAGACCGTTTTCCTTGGTCTCGGTCTCGGTCTCGGCCTCGGAGTGCAATGACTCGGACTCGGACTCGGACTCGAGCCCTCCGGACTCGGAGACTCCGGTCGAGACCGGCTCGAAGCCACTACATACATAGTAGTCATAGATGCTGTTTGTCGCGCTTTAAATCGCGCGTGGGCCGAGTTCGACGCCGCATCATTCGTATTCAACCACGGCATAAATAATGTACACAGCGGCGCGCGGTTAATCAATCGTCTACTCGGCGGCTGGCCAGCAAATATGCTTGTCCCAAAAGTGTCGACTTAATGCAAGTTTTATGGTACTTTCTATTTTATGCAAACAAGTGACAGATCCAGGGGACAGGAAACACCCCCCCCCCATTTTTGAACAAACACATACATAGAAGTGAGTGGCCTTGTCGGTCTGTGCCCCCCTTTTTTTTATCAAAACTGGACTCGGACTCGGACTCGGACTCGGGTGGTGTGGACTCGGACTCGGGTGGCGCGGACTCGGACTCGGACTCGGACTCGGACTCGGACTCGGACTCGGGGGGTGCGGACTCGGACTCGGACTCGGACTCGGGGGTTGCGGACTTGACTACAACACTGGGCCATATACGTACGTTCGGCGTTACCTAGCTTGTACTAATGCTTCATCGCTTGAAAACATGACGAGTAGTATTCTTTCCTATCTCGCCCTATCTGCCTATGGCTATATTGATCGTTGGTGTATTGCATCTTTTCTCATGCCTGTACATAAGACGTTGAATCGCTACTGATCTCGAATTGAAAATTAAAATTGAAAATTCATTCATTTAAAAAGATTCATTTATTTGCCCATCACAATCACGCATATACTTGTGTTCTTGAACATCTAAGCCTGAAACGGGCGTACACAAGAAACGGCAGCCATTTTTATTACAAAGTTTCGTAGCATACTTATAGTGCCTTCGGGCCAACGTGTTGTCGAATGCCGGTATAAACATGGTGATAATGGAACTTTCCCGTACATTCTTTATGGAATACTCTATATGGAACAATGTTTACAACTGAGCCTTTAGTATGTAATTTCGTCTTTTAATAGTAATAAATATCTAGCACGTACGTGATAGGACCTTTACTGAATTTCAGGATTTAACTTCGTAAAACTTAGAATTGCCTGTTGTGCTTTAGAGTTTTGCTATTCACCGGCGAGATCAGGATGGCCGGATTGTGGCGGCCGATAGCGTGCATTTTTTTATCTAGTTGTTTGCGAGCATGTGCGCTCTGTGGATGTATATGCTGACTATATAGACATTTCTACTCCGTTTCCTAAAAGCCAAGCGTGCTCAAAAAAAATCCGATTGGTTATTGAAATCACTGGTGTCCTTACGGCATCCAATTAACATTAAATGACACAACTTTACACAAACGTATTAGTCATTTGGTCATCTATACGTTACGTATAGATGACCAAATGAATTGCGGTAAAAGCTTTTCATCGATACTGTTTTTTTGACTAGTGTTTGTGTACTGCAGCTCGAAGACGCGAAAAATAGAGAAAGAGAGAAAAAATTCGACCACAATTTGTATCGGGCGATGCTTGAGCGTTCCTTGCGCAATAAAAAGTGTCTTAGAATCATCCTCATACATGCCCTCGCGGCAATTTCAGCGAACCTATTATGTGAAGAATGTGTGTACCTCACTCGATCCCCTAGATGCGCGCGAAATTCACATGGAAACCTATTGTATGTACCTACTTATGAGATAAGCAAAACTAGAGCGTGCAACCCTTCAAGGTAAAGTCACAAACACCTATATCGCACATTATCTAATTTAATCACATTCCACTCTATTAATAAGGTATCCTCTCTTATTAATAAGGTATCCTCTCTTATTAATAAGGTATCCTCTCTTATAAGGTGACATGCGCTCGGTGATCCATGAACCACCGTTACATTGTTGCATTTTGTAGATGAACATGTGCATTACACGTTGACTTCATTTTACTTCGATGTTTCCTGCGCCTGTCACGCGATCGCTCGTAATGCGTTGTTTGTGTTGATTCTAGTAATTCTAATAAAGTGAGTAATAACGCCTTTCGTTATTCATTAGAACTTTAAATTCCAAAAGTGTTAGCGACCAATAGTAACACAGTCTCTTTATTATTCTAATTGGGCAGTTAATTTCACCGTAATTATAATTAAACTTGTATAATTTTTTAAACACCTATCTCCCGGCATTGATAATTTATGATTTTCATCGTGCGCATAGAATTCTATTCTATTTATGCCTCCAAACTAAAAAAAATTTATTATGACAAAAGCCCAAATTATAGCCTTGAAAAACAAACGCGATATATTTACATATACGGGTACCGTGACAAACATCTGGAGAAGAATATCTTGCAGACGCTTCTTGGGATATTAATTTCTTAAAATCTTTCGTGGCGTTTTCGATTTTAAATATCGGCAACTATATACTGTTGCAATGCTGTTGCAATGCTGTTGCAATGCTGTTGCAATGCTGCAATGCTGTCTATCATGTCATCATGATCAACATCACTATCATGATCAACTCCTCCGGCAGGAGTTCACCATTATTTTTCCTTGCCATTTTCATCATCATCATCATCAGCAGCAGCAGCAGCAGCAGCAGCAACTACAGCAGTAACAACAGTAGCAGTAACAATAGCAACAGCAGCAGCGAGAGCAGCAGCAGCAACAGCAACAGTAGTAGTTATAGTAATGGCAGCAGGCAGAAATAGCAGCAGTAGTAGCAGTAGCAATAGCAGCAGCAGCAGGAGGAGTAACAGTAGCAACAACAACAACAACAACAACAACAACAACAGCAGCAGCAGCAACAACAACAACAGCAGTAACAGCAGCAGCAGCAGCAGCAGAAGCCTTAACGAGAGCAGCAGCAGCAGCAGCAGAAGCCTTAACGAGAGCAGCAGCAGCAGCAGCACAATCGTTATCATTATCACGAATGCTTTCTAATTTGCGACATAATGCAAAATAATTACTAATCATCATGTATATTTAAAATGCCATTACATGACTAATTGACTACCTTTATAGCCGAGTTCACACGGAGCAATTTTTCCCGGGTCGAAAACGATCCGGGCTAAATTTTGTCCCGGGCCAAGCGTTCACACGGACGTATTCTCGGTACAAAAGTGATCCGGGACGAAATTGACCCGAGCGCTGGTCCATTTTTGCCGTGTGAACGCGCACCGACAGACGACACGGGACAAAATTAGTACGGTGGAAGATGTCGTCAGTGTCGACTTCCGCTTTACTTCGCCGCATTTCTTAGTTTCTACACGCGCGTTTTTCACTATTTTCATTGAGTTAAAATATCCGTCAAAAGGCCCAAAAAAGCAGCAGAATGGGTTGATCGAATGTGGTCTCACGAGGACAACGTCGCTCTACTCGAGATTTGGAAATCTGATTTCATACAGTATACAGGGGCAGTTGACAGGAACCACGAGAAACCGTCTAGTCTACCAAGAAATTTTTGAAATACTGGCTGAGCGGGGGATAGTTAAAACTGAAAAACAAGTTAATAATCGGCTCAAACGGGTAAGAAATACTTATAAGAAGGTGGTAGACAACAACAACAGATCGGGAAGGGCACGAACAACGTGCAGTTATTTCAAGGAATTGGGCGAAGTGTTGGGAAGGCGTCCTTCCGTCAATCCAGCATTGCTGGAATCATCGATATTTTCATCGTTTTTGACCCGGGAAAATTGCTCCGTGTGAACACGCCTTACAACAACAAAGGGTCTAGCTCGCAGGTGAGCTGCGACCGACATATCCGTTTCTCATTAAAGAAAATTGAAAATGCATTTTTTGTGCGAAACATGTGTCATACGTCATAAACATTTTGTACGAGCTAAATATGAATCGTATGAAAAAAAGACGTGGAACGATATCTGCACTCCAGGGAATAATTTTCCCGGTATCGCATCGCAATTCGCGATGTATTTTCAGCCATTTGCTACGCATATTTTTTTATGAATCGCAGTTGTGCGATGCAGCCCATGCGAGATGTAAACGGTAACATACATGTTTACAATTTACTTTTATTCTTGGGCTGCTTTGCCCCGTCAATGAAATGCCACGTTACGCCGATTTTATTGACTTGTTAACACCAAGGCCAACGTGACTTTTAAACAATCCTGCACTCCCCCCCCTCCCCGTTACCCCGTACATCAATCAATATGCCGCCCCAGGCACGTATACACAGCCACGCTGTGCTGGCGCTGCACGCTCTCGCGGGCTGCTTTCTTCGGCGACCTTTGATAGTATAAAGTGAGGATGTGATGTCGTGGTCGAGGAGTCGGATAGCTGCCCTTCACATTCACAATCGCTAGAACTGTATTTCATCAATGTTTGGATATATAACGTAAGGAACCAACATTTGATTAAAGTTTTAGACAATTATTTTTACTTGCCAACATGGGCGAGTCAGCTTTAGCTTTCACTCGCCCGGCCCGATATTATTTTCACTCGACATTGGCGAGCGGGCGTGTCAAGCTCGCACGCTGTTTAAACGCTGCCGGGCAGCGTACAGAATCGCTAGTGTGTCCTAGGCTTAAACTAGCTGTGCCTGTCACAGGCCGACACGATAACACGCCAAGCATGCACTGCGGTGTAAATTTGCACTGTGATTGTCTGAAAATGCTATACAAATTTATCCAATTGCTATGCAAAATTTATTTTGTATCGCACATTTGCTATGCAAATTTTTGGCTGGAAATTGTTCCCTGCACTCAGTACATCCATTTTTTTTTGTAATTACAATACATTAAAGAAATTATACGCGACGGGTTTTATGACCAGGAGAAGTAATGCCAGCCGCAATCTTTCATCGTTCCGCACACATCCTCCTTGGTGAGATTCGGACAGGGCTGGCCGCCGTTCCTCGCCTCTCTCATCACCTGTCTTTTCCTTGCACGAACACCGAAGCCGCACGTCTTACTGCACGGAGTCCATTCTCCCCATGCGGTCACCTTGCAACTGCGTGTCTTTTTGCTTCCCTTCCGGTGGTGGCGCCTCGTGCGATATCTCTTCCCCGCATGCGTCGTGCGCTTCTTTGTCTTGCCGTCGACGTCAGCGCCCCACGCCCCGGACACCGCCGTCGGCTTTGCCGCTGTGATACCAAGCTCCGTCGCCGCCAGGGTACCTCCAGCGCCACCGCCCCCGCCGGCTTCCATGCGCGAACGAGACGCCTCTCGCGGTGGGAATAAATTCGACTGCTTGGAGACGTCTCGCGCTGTCTTCGAGTAGAACTCATCGCCGACGGAGTTTGCGCGGCCGCGTCCGCTCGCCGCGGCACGCTCATTCAGCGGATTCTGTCCGGTAGCTCTCCATCCGGCTGCGCGCACGTACTCCGCTACCTTCTCCACGCTCACGTACGCGATTCTAGGCAGCGTCTCGTAGCGTGGGTAGAAGAATGAGTTGGCAGGGTGGCTGGGGTCGCGCGCCGTCAGTCGGTGAATGTTCGCGTGCGGTTCCGACGGCCAGTTGGGAGACGTGAACGTGTAGCCGTCGTCGGTGCCCGTGTCCAGCGGACCGAGGTCGATCGTGAGAGAGTCGACCCACGTCTCGCCCTCGCACAGATCTAGATTGTGCACGCCGACAAACCAGTCGGGACTCGGGACAATACGTACCATGAACGATATCTACAATAGAAACGATGCCGATTGCTAATATGCGCTGTGGTTTATTTTGTATATAAATAAATAAATAAATAAAATTATATATATATATATATAAGGGGTTAATAATGACATATATATTTATATATATATATATATATATATATATATATATATCATATGCGTAGTGGTAGAATCAAGAATCGCTTGATACCCGCATGGATGATTTGATGACGGCCAATGAGCGTGATCTTACCTTAAGGTTAAAGATCCGTTGTCGGATGTATATAATGGGCATGTAATCATACCCATGCATTCAGGTACCAGAATAAGCCATGATTGGTATGAGCACTCGACCAATTTGAGAAGGACTGCATTCATACATACATGTCGCGATATATACGATAATAGCTACAGGCGATCTCTATCGTAACAACTCCCAGGGGAGTTACTACCGAGTAGGTACCTGACTGTGCTTCCCATCCACGAACAGCTGGCTCGTCGAACTGCCAGCGCCCTCGCTTATTGACGCCCCGAGGAAGACGTCAAACAGGCCCGAGGCATTTCTAGATTCGTCATCAAACATGTTGCTGATGCCGGTCTCCGCGAACTGCTGAGCTGCCTTCTGGGCTGGCTTGTCCATCTCCCACATGCGATAACGCCGTGAGTGGGAGCGACCTAATAGATGAAAGATGAATTGAATACGCGTATGTGGGTGGGTTTGTGGGGGCGTACGCGTGTGGGTGCGTGTGTGCGTGTGTGTGTGCCTGTGCGTGCGCGTGTGTGTGCGTGTGTGCGCGTGTGCGTGTGCGCGTTTGCGTGTGCGTTTGCGTCTGTGTGCGTGTGTGTGTGCGCGCGTTTGCGTGTGCGTTTGCGTCTGTGTGCGTGTGTGTGTGCGCGCGCTTACGTGTGCGTTTGCGTTTGCGTCTGTGTGCGTGTGTGCGTGTGCGCGTTTGCGTGTGCGTGTGTGTGTGCGCGCGCTTACGTGTGCGTTTGCGTGTGAGTGTGCGTGCGTGTGTGTGTGCCCGCGCTTACGTGTGCGTTTCCGTGTGCATGCGTGTGTGCGCGCGCGCTTGCGCGTGCGTTTGCGTGTGCGCGCTTACGTGTGCGTTTGCGTGTGTGTGTGTGTGCCCGCGTGCGTGTGCCCGCGTGTGTGTGCGCGCTTGCGTGTGCATGTGCTTTTGCGCGTATAAGAGAACATTGCCAGCAATATGCTTGATAGCGCATCTCGCACCACGCTCACCACGCTCGCGTCTGCTCTAGCGCGTTCTCTGGACTATAGAATGTCATAGAAAATGGCTGCGAATGTCCATTGAATTTCTCCCAAACATGATCGCCTCATAGAAATAATCGGGCGCGATCATTGTCGTCTTAACTTCGCATTTGTGAAGATCGTTATTTTTCCAGCGGTTACATGACGCGTATCTTTGCGTGTCCTGTGTGTATGCTGAGCAAGAGCACTGACGACAAGTCAACCGACGTCATTATTGCCGCGCGCGACGGTAACACCACACTGCAGTCGCTGCTCGATCGCCGCTATGACCGACAGATACAACCGAACCTTTTCTATTATGGACTCTTGATACAATGCGATAACGCTGAAAGCAAGGCGTCGTGGAATAATTAGACTGCAAAGTTACGCGCGACTTTTGCGAGTTTGCGTGATCGTTAAATATGGTCGCTTGCGCGCACTGCCTGTCATTCAGCAACCACATGCGTGAAACATTTTACATTTTAATTGCATAGTTCTAAGCTGTGGGTAAATAAGAACAAAGTAAGAGCTATGTGTACCCAAATACCGGCACATGCCGAAACACAACCTAAAACTAACAAGCGCTGTGGCAACTTGTTATCCAGGGAAGCAGCTAATTACGCCAAAAAACTCGTAGCTGTCAAGTTTTTCTAACTTTTCGAACGCGGTTGCGAGCGACTGGCGACGGCCGGCAGTAAGTTGAAGGCTCGATTACAACCTTGAAGAGCAACTGCTTCCCCGGGCAGCTGCACGGCAACATTTACAATGTCCAGCCTGCTTTCACCTCACTTACCGCCGATCACCCGGACAATGGTAATAAAGCCAGAGACAAACAGACGGTCGGACGGATGAACAGACAGACAGACAGACAGACAAACAGACAGACAGACAGACAGACAGACAGACAGACAGACAGACAGACATGCAGGCAGGGAGGCAGGCAGGCAGACATGCAGGCAGGATGCGCACGAGAGGGAGGGAGAGCGATGGAGCGAGAGGGAGAGAGAGAGAGAGAGAGAGAGAGAGAGAGAGAGAGAGAAGAGAGAGAGAGAAAGAGAAGGAAGGGATGAAAGAGCGGAGGAAGAGCGACTTCAGCGCACACAAAACACAACGGGCACAGACCGAATGACATATTCGCGCGTAGCCGTTGTTAATATGGAGGATTTACATGCGATCGCAGTATAGTGTTACTGTGATGCGCCTGCGGATCTGTCATTAAAGCAAAGTCGATGCATGCTCTCTCCTTTGTTGCGTCAGAGCACTTGCTGCGAGTCACGCGAACGCTAATGGCGCACGTTTCGTCGCAACAGCGCGACGACAGAGCCATCAGATATTCATGCATCAAAGGGAGACTCCTCTCGTTACACACACACACACGCACACACACACACACGACACAACACAACACGACACTACACACACGACACACACACACACACACACACACACACACGCACGCACACACACACACACCACACACACACACACACACGCACGCACGCACGCACGCACACACACACACACACACACACACACGCACGCGCGCGCGCGCACACACATACATATACATTATGATATTCATGTTATTATTAGATATTATTATAGGAAAACTAGCCAGTGATCGTCACCTATACCAGATGACAAATTATGGCCCTGACCCTTCTCTTTCCCCTTGCCACGCCTCTTGGCTCGTACACTGTGACATCATTGTCGTAATTATTCCATCATATCCCTTTTATTCCCCGCAAGAAGTTCCCCGCAAGATGTTTTAGAAGCGAGGCCAAGCTCGAGAACACGTGCACCTGCTCGAATGTTCTCACACGTGGGTGCGCCTCGGGGCTTTGCTACCATATCGCCGCATAAAAACATCAGACACATTATCCGCCCTGCTGCACCACCAGGGTTCGCCGAAATGCTCGCCGAGCGAATGCATAAATTACGTGCGACGGTGAGCAGGGTCGTAATTACCAGCAAGGTTCGTTCCTCCAAGCGCTTGTGGGGGAAGATCGTTGTAATAATTATTGCGCTCGTCCGCTACTGCTGATATCAGGAATGTCACAATATAGACTAGACACGATATTATGACGCTCCTGTTTGTATCGCATCCTCGTTGTCAACTTCGCTGACATGCCCGCGGCAGAAAGCTTTCAGAAAGTTTCAGTCTTCCCGGTGGGACCGACACCTGCATGACGTTGATCGTGATGACAGCAATTTGCTTTAATCAGATACCTCCCTCCTGCAGAGTAAATACTAATCTCGCCAACAAATTGACTCTCTCGTCGTATGGACGCTGATTGCGTGACTGCTGACAAGGCAGGAAAAACAATCAAGTGTGCTATGTGATGCAGTACAGTCAGTATATGTCCCAGAAAGTCCTAAATAGGTCCGCAGCTGCAGCGGACGCAAATGACAGTGTGGCAATCCTCGCCGCGAAAGGGAGAAATAAATTTGTATTGACATACGAATTCATTGCGGAAAACCAACGGTGAGCCGGCGATGACGCGTACTATAATGCGTATAACCAGCCGGAGGGACAGCCGTGGACTGAACGATATGATTTGAACGATATGTTTAGCATCACGTTCGAAGGTTAATCGCTACGTCACGCGTAGTCGACTCATATATTATATCAAGAGCTAATAAATACCTTATATATTAATTATACCTTGGTATTTATTAGCTCTTGATCATATGTATAGCCTTTATATGCCTATATGTCTTCGCTGTGCTTACATAGTTGTATGTGGTTTTCACCGTGACATTCACCGTTCGCTTGCATAGTATTCACACAAAGCACATGCTACGAGCGCTGTGTAATATAGAACACACACACACACACACACACACACACACACACACACACACACACACACACACACACACACACACACACACACACACACACACACACAAGTGAATTACATTTTAATATTTTTCACTTGATCAGTCATGCAATTGACTAATTTATTAGTCAATCAAATCAATCAATCAATCAATCAATTCTAATTGTCTATCTATCTAACGATCGCTAAGTCGTTCATTCAACAGCGATTAATTTGAGTGCGCATTCGTTTAGAGAGTTATATGAAGAAGCCAAAAAGAAAGCCGAGGAAGATGCCGAGGAAAAAAAGAAAGAAGAAGAAGACATGGAGGAAATGAAGATGAAGGTGATGATGGAGATGGCCGAGAATAAAGCCGCCGATATGGACACAATGATGATGAACCCAGAGACCATGACGAATAGTCGCGGTGCCTACAAAGCCAGGGCCAGCCTTCCACCTCAGAAGATGCAATATCCGACCTACACCGGTCACGGCCGCGAGAAACTTAAGTCCCGGATGAAACAAAAGATGGCGCCACCGCAGCGCGCCAAGGCTGAAGCGCCAAATGGCTACTTGTCGCACATGTCGTTGATGGCCGCGCAGTACAAGCAGCAGCAGGCGCTCAACGCGTCGCAGCTGTATAATCCGTACACGAGAGCGCCTCATCAGATGACGTCGACCACCGCGAATCCGTACAGTTATATAAACGCTTACAGCATGTCCGGCCAGGCGGCGGTATCCTTGCCCGTTAGCAGCCAGCCGCAGGGCCACCGCAGCAAGCGCGCTGCTGGCTACCCCAAGATGCAGCACTATATGACGACCACGATGCCGCCAAAGAAGACGTACGAGGAGAAAATTAAATATCATCACATCACGGTGCCTTACAAACCTTATCTACGGGATGTCTGCACGCTATTACAGAAAGTCTTCACAACTTTAGGCAGTATGTGTCCATAACGTGCGGGTTAATGTATTGTAGCATGATACGATTAATTACAGTACCTTATAGTTATTTTAGCACCACTTTCTGAGGATCATTCCATAGTTTAAGCAAAACAGAGTCATCCTCCACACTCTCTCATATATACAATATATATATATATATATATCATATATATTACCAGGAGTTAATAAAGACAATTTGTCTTTATTAACTTCTGATATTACTTGTGTGCGTGTGCGTGTGAGTGTGCGTGTGCGTGTGTGCGTGCGCGTGCGTGTGTGCGTGCGCGTGCGTGTGTGCGTGCGCGTGAGTGCGTGCGTGCGTGCGTGACTGCGCGCGCGCGCGCATGTGTGTGTGTGTGTGTGCGTGCGCGCGCGTCTGTGCGTCTGTACATAAATACTGTATACATGCATTTGGGCATGTCAGAGCAGAACCCGGCGTGCAAGCGGTGAGGTTGCCGGTAAATTAGCAACCCTGGACACGCCTGCGAGCGCGGCGCGTATAGCTGCCCTAGCTACGTGCGCTATGTGGAGGCCAGGGTGACTCACTGTCCATGGTGACTTACGCTTCATAGCATTATATTCCTATATACATATTCCTAGCTAGCGAGACCCATCGATGTCAAATCACAACTACGAAAAATCACATTCCGTGAGTCCCTTGGGTGGTAGCCTCACTATGTGCCCTGCGCCGCAGGTGTGCAGCTTATAGATGCTCATATCATCGCATATCGATTGGACGATTAAATTACGCGAATCTTGAAAGATATGATGATACACAGAGTCTGACGCAGGCACGAGGTAGGATAGGCAAAATCGTGAGAGGATGGGCTACGAGGTTAATGAAATGGCCACCGGTTCACAAGTAGCTTAATTTACAGAGATTTTCTGTCCTTCGCTTGATGAAAAAACAGACTGCAGCCCCGAGGCGTGCATGCTAGTCCGCGAGAGGTCTTGCCACTCAACTCAACCGCTTATGTCAGAATTGGGTTATTGGATTTGTGGTGATTCTCGTATGAGAATCGGGTCGACGTTAACCGCAAGCTCATTGCCACCACACACACACACACACACACACATGCGCAGACGCACACACGCGCGCACACTCTCGTGCACAATTACAAACACGTACGCTCGCAAACACGTACACGTACACACACGGATGTACGCGCGCACACACGCACGCACGCACCCACATGCGCGCACTCACGCGCAAAGGTCGAATTAGACGGCGGGGGAAAGATAAACCACAAACCAATTAGGATCGGCATCTAGGATCGCGGAAGCTGGTAGAGGAAATGTTCGTGCGCGCATGTGTGTGTGTGCGTGCGTGTGTGTGTGTGTGTGTGCGTGCGTGCGTGCGTGCGTGCGTGCGTGCGTGCGTGTGTGCGTGCGTGCTTGCGTGCGTGCGTGCGTGCGTGCGTGCGTGCGTGTGTGTGTGTGTGTTGGGGAGGGGTTGTGTGTGTGTGTATGTGCGTTGCGTGCGTGCGTGCGTGCGTGCGTGCGTGTGTGTGCTGTGTGTTTGTGGGGTGCGTGCGTGCGTGTGTCGTGCGTGCGTGCGTGCGTGGCGTGCGTGCGTGCGTGGCGGTGCGTGTGTGTGTGTGTGAGTTAGGGGGGGTTGGGTTGTTGTATATATGTGCGTGCGTGCGGTCGCGGCGTGGCGTGCGTGCCGTGTGGTGTGGTGTGGTGTGTGTGTGCGTATGTGTGTGTTGTGTGTGTGTGTGTGTGTGTGTTTTGTGTGCTGTGTGTGTGTGTGTTGTGTGTTGTGTGTGTGTGCGTGCGTGTGTGTGTGTTGTGTGTGTGTGTGTGTTGCGTGCGTGCGTGCGTGCCGTGTGTGTGTGTGTGTGTGTGTGTGTGTGTGTGTGTGTGTGGTGTGTGTGTGACGTGTGTGTGTGTGTGTGTGTGTGTGTGGGTGGGATGTGAAGGCTGGAGCGTAGAAATCAATACGTTCAGCCAAATAGCACTTAATTAACAAGTTATTTTACTTGGCAGTGGAGACATCATCATGACAATTATAGCGAGAGGGCAAGAATGAGAATAGAATACGACATATATTATAATCAGGAGAGATAATAGGGAAACGCCTATTAAGTTCGCCGTAGGCTTCCCGATAGGTTTCCCTATATGCTACTCTGATTATAATCAGGACGTATAATGAACAAGATATACGCGTAATAGGAGCGTATAATGACAAATAATTTTGTCATTATACCTGCCTGATATAATTCAAGAGTACATAATGGAGATCTCTACTATCTTTGTACATCTCTTATTATTATCTCTTGTTTATAATCTCTCCTCTCTGCTCTCTCTCTCTCTCTCCGTCAATTCGGTCTCCTCTCTCTCTCCTCTCTCTCTCTCTCTCTCGCTCTCGTCTCTTCCTCTCTCTCTCTCTCTCTTC